GGGACTGGGCCTGTGCAATACTAAGTTTACTTCCTTTGGGTCTGTAGCAAGAAGAGAGATTCTGGGTCATATGGTAGTTCTATTTTTAATTTCTTTGGGAACCTTACATTGTTTTCTGTAATGGCTATACCAATTTACATTCTCACTAAACCACACACCAAGGCTGAAATCCTGGGAATCTGAAGGAAACACTTTTACAACACATGAGAAAACACTATTTTACTCAGCAGATGTAGACTTACACTTCTTGGTAACTTATCAAGTAGCACAAATTTTGAACAACATTTAAAGAGAATGTCAGTGAGTTTATGAATATAAAATGTATTAATGAAGAAACCAGGAAGGATAATTTTTTTTCTTGAAATGGAGTTTTATTACGAAGCCAAGGCTAGCCTCACACTCATGATCCTCTGACTCCGTCTCCTAAAGTGCTGGACTGCAGGTATGTGTCACCACGCTTTGTGGGACAGGGCATTTTTAAGACATGTGTGTTCAGTGGACATCTGCTATCCACCCCATGCTTATGCAGCCCTGGGACTTCAGAGGAGACAGGGTAGGCCAAGACTGCAAGGAGCTTAGCCATTAGCTGGGTGTTGACATGAACACACATGACAAAGGTTGTCCCTATAAAAATAAGGTCCACAGGAGCCTAGGAGGGAGAATTACCTGACTTTCTCAGCGGAGGCACTACCTTCCTAACTCGGAAGCGACAGCAAACAGAAATGCTCTATGGAGCCAAGTAATGTCCCAAGGGCGGACAGTGGCCAGATCAGAACGTTTCTGACCCAGTCAGCCATCTCTCACTTTAATTTAACCCACCCCAAACCATAGTAAGAAACCCAAGTTTTGCTACTGTGATGGAATAAGCCATATAACCCTGATTTAAAATATTGCACTGACCATATAACCTGGTGTCTCTTCATTAATTTCTCAAGCTGTAAGAGGTGCTAAGTGCACCTGATTCTGAGAGCCCCGCCCCACCCCCAAGGTCTGGAAAGGCCATGTGTTCAGTAAGAGCTCCCTAGATGCTGATTGCCCACCATCCATGTTACTTCCATGCCACTTAGAAGGACCAAACTGAAAGGGTGAAAAAGCAGGGGGAAAATATGTGCTCTTTCCCAAAGCTTTTGAAATAGGGCCGAATGAGCACAAGTACTAAACACATTGAGAAATCTATACACAGCTCAATAGAAAATCAAGGCAAGACAACTTAATAAATAATTAGGCTCCAGTTTCAGACAGTCTCCAAAGCACACCAGATCTAGTCTGGCGGGAAGGAAAAAAATCCTCCGGGAATAAAGAATCGAGAGGAAAGCAAATGGCTGACCTCATCACCTTGCAGAGGTAAGATCCTTGGTTCAACACCAGCACCTGAAGAACAGGCAACATCAGACAAGAGTGGAAAACAGGAGACTAGAGGCAGTTTTGATTTATTTATGAGAGCAATCGGAATGATCTATGACCTTCTCAGGCAGTATCCCTCCGAACTTAGTGTGTGTTGGGGGGATACCAAGGCTCCAAGAAGCAACAGTGAGGCTACAAAGGTCATGAAGTGGTTTTGCATCCCCAGGAAGTCCAAGAGAAGAAAGCTAGGCACTCACTCCTCCATCTCCAGCATCCAGGCAGAGGTGGCTCTTGGTAGGTGCTTGCTACTGTCCAGTGAGTCAGCTGTCTCGCTCTGCTTGTACCTTATAGAGTTAGCATCAGACACCATTCATTTCTGAAGCCCCTCTTCCTGCTCTTTTTGTCAAAACATACAACTGGGGTGGCAGGGAGGCCCCTGAGATCTCACAGGGGACAGGGAAGTCCAAAGCACTCTCCTAGACTTAGAGATTTCACTGTAGAGCTTTGCAAGGCCTTGAAACAAATATTCGTTCCCTTCTGATAAATGGAAAATACCTGGCCCCTTGACTGGTACTAGAAAAGGCAGACAGGCCAAGCAGATGTGGCTCAGCCATTCAGCCAAATCTTCAGCCAGCTGAAGGTGTACCAGTGGGTTTCCTTCCCAAGAATGACTGGAGATTCGGGCGTCTTCCTAATCCATGTGATGGGTGTGAATCTGTTGGTGTGTTTAGACCCCACTCTGACCAGACACTGAGTAGATGCAGCCAGTTTGCTCCAACACAAACTGACCAAAGTACCAAGGGACATTCTGGTTCCCCAGAGAATCTATGCTAGAAAAATGTGAGTAGCCAGAAGTGGCCCCCAAAGGATGACCTAGAAGTCGGATTATTTCAGAACATGTGAGAACAAAAGGAGCCTATGAATTGGGGTAGGCCAGACCATTTTCATGGCCTCCAAGCCACAGAGTCCATGGTGTATGCACAGACAAAAGGGAGCATGGCCTGAGCCTCCAAACACTTTTGAACCTGCCATGGTCAAATGAGTCTGCTAGGTAAAAATGAAGGGTGGGGAAGTGAGACACAGTTGAGAGGTGACCTGGATCCCAGGAGAAGGGGGTACTGACACCCAGGTGAGATTGTGAGAGGGTCCTCTGGTGACAGAAGGCCAGCATAAGGAGCCAGTCCATAGGGCTCCGATTGGATGAGGACCTGCACTGGAGCCTTCGCATGCAGAACTGCAGCAGCTTTGCTGACTGAGGCCTTCGCATGCACAACTGCAGCTGCTTTGCTGAGTCTGCAGCATCCACTCATAACCTGATCTTTTTCTGAACATGGGGGATAACTCAAGGACAAATGCTACTCTAAAGTCCTCTCCTGGGTCACAGCATGTGACAGTGAACTAATAGGGCTGAGTGTCTGTCACAACAAAAGTGTGGGCATTCCATTTCCTCCCTCGGAGGATGCTGGTAGTGTGAGGCCGTTCGCTACTTCTACTTTTCAGCTGGGCTTCATTAAAAAGTGAAACTTCTACTTCTTTCTAGAAAAAAAAAAGTTGGTTAAAAAAAAAAGGCAGGACATTTCCTAGCAAATCAAAAGATAAACCTTACAAACAGGCAGTAAGCCCCAAATGGCCCCGCTCTACTCCTTGCCTTGACGCGTCTCATCTTACTAGTCCTGCTGAAATCAACTTCTGGGCCACTCATGCTTCTGGAAATGCCTTCTCATTCTTTATTGCTCAGCTCTGACATTTCAGAAAATCAAAACCTTCAGAAATTTCCCTTCTGGCTCCAGCATCAACATCCTGTCTCCCTCACCCCTGGAGCTGCCTCCTCCCTGGACCCTGGAGCTGCCTCCTCCCTGGACCCCTGGAGCTGCCTCCTCCCTGGACCCCTGGAGCTGCCTCCTCCCTGGACCCCTGGAGCTGCCTCCTCCC